CAGCTGTCCAAGGGATCTCATGGTTGTTGCGGAAGCTACGGTGTCGTCTCTTGATATCCTATGGATAGGATTCTAGACGCTACGGGCCCACAGCAGTCGTATAGCCATGCGCGTGCCCCTGATTCGAATGATATTGCCAGATACTACCATCGCAAGGAGCATTTCCAGGGGATCTGCCTGATCGTATGCCTCGTTGAATGGGGCCCCTTACTTGCGATGTGCATTCCAGGCCAAACGGCTGAATCAGACACGTCTGCTTGCCCTACCTCTTGGGCGCTGTCGACCGAATCTCTTCTCAAGACTGTCACAAGCTTTCGCGCCAGCCATCAGCATTGCGAGAATGCATTATCGCAACTCTTCATCCCTGATGACATTCACGTTCACACTTGTTTCACTCTTGTTATTGGTCATTCACCTGGAGCTGCAGCATGCAGCAGCCGAAGCTGGCCGATCTGATGGTCAAAACTCCAATCATGGACTGAAAAAAGGTGTCGACTCGCAAAGCAAGAAGCGCGGTCGCGGGAAGAAACAATTGGCAAACTTGGAGGCAGCACCTCAGCGACCACTTCAACGGGTCTTTCACCTGCAGTTAAAGGCCTTGACTTTTTTTCCGCATGACGCAGGCAATGCGACACGCAAATGTTACAACGCAACGTTCTTGATCGAGTATATCGGTCCATTAGCGACGGACGAAGCAGTCTGCGCAACCGAAAAGCCTTCCAAGATAAAAGCCTTCCAAGATTCAATGCAGAGGACTGTAAGTCTTGGTGTTCACAGCAACATGAAGCTTACGAAGCGAAGCAAGTCCGGTCCTTCTCTAGAGATGTTTCACAGAAGACTTGCATCCAGAGCCCCAGGCTTGATATCAAATACTTTTCCAAGACCTCTGTCATTTCGGGTTCATGTGCAATCAACTGTCACTGCACCATTCTCAACTACTTCGAGCGTATCAAGATGCCAAAATTGAGATACAAGGGTGGTCATTTTCGAGCTGTCGCCTTCCAAACCAAAGTCTTACTGGAGTCAAGTTCCAGCGTTATCCGGAGACCCTCCGGAACCGACTGGCAAACCAGCCCTAGATTGTCATTACGAGGATCTGTTCGAAAAAGTAGGGTGGGTGTCGCAGATCATAGATCCTACGACAGGCACCCCGTTAGCAGATTCTGCGACAGGCACTCCGTTAACAGTCAAGTGGCAGGTCGGATGTGATGTCAGTCAACAAAAATCTACCTTGCGACAAGGTTGAGTGGGGTAATTTTTGCTTCTGTGAGCGAAGGCTACAACCAAAGAAACATCACTTTGTTCCTGGACTATGTGGAGAAGGTCCGAAACCACCCAAAGAATTCAAGGGATCCAAAAAAAGCAGCTCAGGAGCGAAGTTGGATACTTCGAGGCCAGCCGGCTCTGACCAGTCGTCAGAGCATTGCCTCGCGCCTGCTACCCCGCGGAGTTACTCCTGCCGATAATCCAGCTCACGCAGACGCGTCAAGTTCAGGCCAAGCCGCATTGGCGGGCAACAGTGCAGAACCTGCCACGGCAGACCTGCGACTAGATCCAAATGACTGGGAGGAATGGATAGCAACAATGTCGAATGTGGAGCAGAATCCAACGACCGGACTACCAGTAGATCGGAACGTCTTGACAATGCAGTCTTGCATCAATCATGGTCTCTTCAACCATCCAGGGTTTGAACAACCGCATGCAGATATATGCGTTGCTCCGAGCCATGATGTCCAGAGGCAAGGGGTTTGGAGCAAGGAACTGATGGAAATCAAGATGATGATATCGCCGGCTACGCTGATCACTTTTTCGGCTGAGCCGCCCGCCTTTATCTAATGGAAGAGTTTCTTCTCCAGCCGCAGATCATTGAATTTCTACCTAGCCCTGGGATTCAGCACCCTCGAACCTACTGTCGGAGGTGATGCTCGTCCAGGCATCAACTTTGATACCTTGCTTTTATCGTTCAGCGTAACGCACGCATTTGAGTTGGAGTGACGCCCCTAATTAGCTCCAGATGTCGTAGTATTCTTATCATTTACGCCTTGTACTAGCTGGAAAGGTCAGCTACTGCAGCTGACTACATGAGATAATTCATTCTGAGTTGTATATGCATATTGATTTGTGGTTGCGATCGCTTGTCAAGGATTTCATTCCGCTCTGTATGCGCAAACATCGATTCAGTCATGCACAACTATAGCTAAGTTTTACTCAGTCTGGGTCTACAACAAGTCACACAATTATACGAAAATGGCATCGCGGATGAAGAAGAGATTCAAGAAGCAGAATTCAGTCAAGAGAATCATAAACATGAGAGCACAAACCTAGAAGATGTATAACCAATGAGTAAGGTAATGGATGTCGCAAAATTATGGAATAGAAGAAGTGAAGATGAGGCAATCCGAGCGAAATACCTTCCACCCGCGCCAAGCATGTAAGAAAGAGCGTGTCCTTTGACGCGTATTAGGAAGGATGCTGGTATAGATGCCGTGAGCAACCCTGTGTGCTCTGTGCTGTTGCATGGTCGTGTGTGTTGAATGATGAAATAGCGGGAAAATGGTGAAACAAAACAGTACTGTTCATGCCAATAGATAAGAGAGATGGTGTCAATGCGCTGAAGAATAGTGGAATCAACGCCAGACTAGAGCTTGAGAGGATTGCGTCTGATTGTTTTGATTGTGTCTCATGATGAGCCGGTGGCATACCGTGTCCAAACACACCGATGGGTGCGTGTTTGTTGACTAGCGTGACTTGAGTGTCCAATTGATGACGCTAGATCCGGCGGTGCAAGTGCTGCGTATCCATTATTCACAAAATGTCCAGGAGCGCCCATCTGCGCATGCTGTCCCATCAATGCACCCGTTTGACCATGCTGCTGACGTTATTGCAATGTATGTGGATGATGATGGTGATGATGTTGCTGTTGAGGCACAAACCCTTGTCCTGCATCCATCCTCAAATTCCACAAAGCACATGGGTCCATTCGATTTGGTGCGGTGGCAGAGACGTCGACACCCCTGCTGACAAGAGAACAAGCTCTTGAGTTCTTCCTCCGTTGTTGCAAGTGGTAGATTGTCCACATAGCGCGTGTTGCAGGGCGGGTTTCGATCAGCTGGATTGGTGTTGATGCGGGTTGGAGCAAGGCGAGTACCAATCACGAAACTAGTAGTCGCAGGATTTGAAGCTGCATACGCATTTTTCATCATGCCAGTGTCTCATCTTGTAGAGGCAGGATTAGATCTCATTCCAGTATGCTGATAGGTGCCAGCGAAAGGTGGTGCATCGCCATTCAAAATGAGGTGAATCAAGAGATTTGTCAATTGAAGGGAATTCATGACTCAAAATGGGATTCATACCGCTTTGTATATCAATGCGTTTGACAATACTTCGCCAAAAACAAGAAGGAACACCACTCGAGCTCAATCCAGCGAATCGAGTGGCGGTTGTTGAGCGTGACCAGGAGTCATGGGTCTTGCGTCGGCATGATGCGCATCGAGTAACGCTTCTAGCAGACAAATGGAAGCAAGGAAGACGATGACCTTCTGAGCAGTCTGCAGGAGATGACTGTTCTAGATCTGATCTTGTACGAAGCTTCACTGCCTGGATATTGATATTGCGATATTGATGGTCCTGCCGCCAGAAAGGTAGATGGAGCGTGAGAACAAGTTTGGACAACAACGGGCTGCGCACTAGTATTTAGCGGTGAGACTATCTTAGGCTTATAGGGCTAGATCGTCTCCTTGAGCTTGGTTCCTGACGCATGAAGC